ATATATATATATATATATATATATATATATATATATATATATATATATATATATATATATATATACTCCTGTGGGACTGACGCAGCATATTTTACATTCGTTTGACTGTGCGTGGAAGCTACTGTGGAGCGCCTGACGTAACTCTGGGAGCAATGAGGTGGTTTTCCTGTTTTACTTCAGTGTGTTGCTTCCCTCTCCCCCAACAGGCAGGCGGATGACAAGGAAAGGAATGCAGCAGATTCAGCGGGTCTGTGGAGTGGAGTGTCAGGGGGTGGGTGTGCAGGGGGGGAGTGGGGGGCTCCATTGACAGCATGATTCAACCCCTGCTTTCACTATTTGTGTGTGTGTCACTTCCAGACACATGGCAGGCATGCCGTAGAGGAACGCTCCAGAAAGGCCCTGGATGGATGACAGAGGGACCCATATGTGGCTGCGCTGGTGGCGATACACAATGAAAGATTACTGCACACACACTGTCCATCAGATATACTGTATATGCTGGCAGATAGAATTTACAGGAAGTAAACATGGACAGTTACATTTACAAACAAATAAGGCAAGAAAAACGAAAACAAGAAAAGGCTACATTTTCTGAATGAAGTTGAAGCGTGCTCAGTTATCTGTGAACTTGGGGTTCAATGGCTTGCTCAAAGACACCGTCACTTCAACTAACAGTTGAAGTGAGAAAGAGCTGAAAGCAGTGGAAAGGAAAGTTGAATTGCAAACAATACAAGCAATTGATATTGTAGTTGAAGTGCTGGAGAGAGCTGAAGTGTGTGAACTGTTTATAGTCGAAGTGTCAGTTGGTATGTAAGCAGCGACAGAGGTTCTAATGTCAGCTGATGACTCTGCATCGAAAGAAGTTGATCGTCACCTAAAGAGTGAGCAATGAAGACACTCCTAAGATAAGTTGAAATGTTGAAAGCAAGTGAAATTTCAGTTGAAGTGAACCACAGATAGTTGAAGTGCGTGCACTGTTAACAGTTGAAGTGCCAGTTGTGCAAGTGGTGAAAGCAGTTGAACTGTAAGAGATAAAAGCACTGGAACAGTGGCGGCTGGTGGAAGATTTTCTCGGTAGGGCTGTGCCACATCCAATCAATTTCAGCAAACATCCCAGAATGATTTAATGCAAAAAAATAAGGTATCAAACATGCATTACTACTGCAAACAGTTAAATATTTAACATTTATTCCAATGCGAAAAAAAGAAGTAAATAACACTTTGATAAACACGTCAGGACATCTTATTGTTGTCACCCTCACAGGCAATTCAGTATAATATAGTAATATATATCATATAATAACATTCAGTATAATATTAAAGCTGCGAGCAGCAATGAACGGGCCCTCGCAATCTGCAGCGTCTCGGGGGTGGCGGCGGGACTCTGGCCTGCGCGGCCTGCGCGGCCGAGAGCGTCCGCGACCGTGAGCGAGACGGATTTAATCCCGCGTGGACCGCCTGATGCTGGAAATGATGCTTTGCAAGTAGTCCAATGCTTCATGCATCATGTAGCTCTGTGTCAAATGTAAACCACATTGTGTAAAAGGCATGTAAATCCGATGGTGTTTGTCACAAAACGCAGATTTCCTTTGGCCAGCAGGTGGCACTGTGAATATTAGGGGACATTAGCTTGTAGACATCCTCAGGCCATGAGTGTTATCAAGCATGTGAAGTTTGGGACTGTTTGGAACAACGAGTTACATCAGCTTTTTTCATGGTGAAAAGTAGCCGCCCGCTACGGCTAAACGATTCCGTTAAACATAAAGCTTTTGATAACTTTTAATCACAACTGTCTTGACATTGTACTGACAAAATTTAAACAGGATCTGATTAATACCCTAGGAGGAGTTCGTTAAAGTATAGCGACTAGAAATAGGCCAAAATTGATGGAAAAATGACACAATAATCAAAATGGCCGACTTCCGGTAAGGTTTAGAGCAGTGGTTCTTAAATTGGGTTCGGTGAGTCACTCTCCGGGGTTCGGCAGGGGTCAAGACAGATACAGTATAGCCCGGTTCGCACTAGCAATGTCGGGCCGGTTTTGACGGCCGTCAAAAAATTGGCAACACACAATTTTTCTTCGCCGTGTTACGCCGTGTTACGCCGGGTTTACACCGGACGCTGAAGCGCAGCGCAGCGCCATTCTCAAGCGCTGCGCACCTGGCTGTTCACGTCGGACGCGCATTTCTCCGCGCCGGTCAGCCCGCGATTCTGCTTTCTCCGCTTGTTGTTGTATGTAACCCGTTCAATGTAGGGGTTCGGGGGTAAATGATGATGGTCTTCATAGCCCCCCCCAACCCTCTCTTTCTCTCTCTGTCTGTTTGTAGTGGATGGGCAGATGGGGAAAGTTAATAATGAGAGGGGAAATATTGGGGAGATTGAAACTGCAGGGCAACAGAAGGGGAATACAAAGTATGGGATGCATATTTGATCATTTATATAATGTAAAATATGTCATTTATATCGTTTAAATAATTTTTCAGTGTGTTTCCTGGCGCG